ATACTAGTACACTCTATCTTAACAAAGGATACTCCAATGAAGTTTCTTTATATGAAAGATCCTATCTTTTTTTCGATGAGGAATCACCTTCTTAAATGTTTTACACTTATTCAGTTACACCCTGTATAAGTACTTTATGCTCAAAAACGAGATCCATTTTAAGTCGTTCATGAAATGAAGTATTCATGTTCAATACGATCAGTGCTTGTAAATAGTTACACCTCAGTTGATAAGCACAGTATCTTGAAATTCATGTTGACATCAACATCATTTTTATAATTTGGCGACCATACAATGGAGTTGAACTCAAATATGGATCTCACTTAAGTACATTAAATGATTTTCATGGATTCAACACATAATCTCTATCAGAACAAAGTACGAAGCCCAATGTTTTGTGGGCTTAAGATGAAGTTTCTTCTTTATGGTAAATAGAGCGTTGCTTGCATTTAGAAGTTTCATTTTCGAGTTTTTTAGTAAGAATTCCAGAGGGTAACGATGCCTATATGAGATAAGTCACAGATTTCTAAATCATAATAAGCTGTCAATTGGAGGTTAGGTTTGGGGATATTTTCGACAGCATTTTCAAGGCGCAAAATTTTTAAAAATCTGACTCACATTACCCTTCATTGTTGCCACCCCGAAACATACATTTAAAAAAAACACCGACATCCCTCCATTTTTTCACATAAATCATATTATTGATATCGTGGCTTCTAAGTTAAATACTTTAGAATTTCAAAGAATTTTTTTAAATCTCTTCAACTGTAAACTTCATTATGATTCACGAGATGTTTATCGTAATACAGATGGAGTGTTGAAATGAGAGGAGTGGTAAAATCATCAAAAACTCCAAATGGAATTTTTAAATGCACATACATTTATAGTGTTAATCGACTTCGAAATGTTGAAAAATAAATTAATTGAAATTGTCCGTGAATAATTATTTTCGTTCTACTCATTCAGGATAAGCTTCGGTCTTCGCAGCCCTGACAACCGGCCTGACAAAGAGCACGACTTTCAAGGTTATCTCCAATACCTGAGAGACGTCAAAAAGAATGAAGAAAACGTATCCGCAGATTCCTGTTCTGTGAACGACATGTACATATTCGACCCGGATATCATCGACCTGACCCTGATCCCGCCTCCTAGTACTCCGGACGAGTTGGATTGTGCCTTACCCTCGCCCATCAACGTCCCGCCCAGGTCGTTCGCGGATTCCATGGACAAGTTGAACAAACTTGGTGAGAATTTTGGATATGCTTTGGCCAGCTAGTGACCCTGATCTGAACCTAATCGATTTTTTCTTAGGTATTCTGGACGAGAACCAGGACTTCGAAGAGTTCCTCGCCAGTGTAACTGTGCAACCTCCCACGCAGAAACTCACCCCGGCCGTTGAATTGACTCCTGAAGAGATAATGGCTTACATCATTCCTCCGCCGCCTGCGCAGGGCAGCCAGGAGAACTTGACAATAACTCTAACCGAGAGGAATTCTGAGAGCGAGGGAGATCGAAGGATGAATGAGGTCAGCTCCGTCAAATCTAAGGTGATAGAATACGAGACTTTCGATAGGAGGGGTCCGTTTTCGTGCTGTGCCAAGAATAAGACTGACAAAAGTTTTGAACAAATATTGTCAAACACTTTCAAACAAAAGATTATGCTGTTTCTTAAAGTGGGACTCACTGGCAATCATTCTCGTCTTGTTCCATTCAACTTGATATTCACTGACTGAATAAATGGACTCCAAAATATTCAATAATTACACAGGAATGAAGTTATTTTTCTCCTCGATAATCAATATATTTATGATCCTTTACACATGCCATTTTGAGCAGATTTTTATGATGATGCTGCTACATAAATGATAGATTACACATGTAATGTTTGTATGTTGTCCCTGTATTTTGTTGTAGTGAATTTGTATTCTGTAACTGTATTTGTACATATGCTTTCATTTGACATACTTGAAGTTAAATGATCTGACTGAATAAATATTATCATTATTAATGTGTTTATATTAATATGCATATGGTGACTGATACAGTTTACTCGTCGTTTGCTACCAGATTTTATTATTTGTAAACATTATTTCAAAAAAATTATGAATAAAATGAAGTGTAATATATGTGGGAACCACTTTCATCCAGCATGTCTAAAGCAGTCTAGGGAGCTAAGAAGACTGGTTGTAAATATGAATATGACACTGGTGAAGACAATTATCTGTAAGAGGAACACTACCTAAAGGAAAAAATGAGCTATTGAAGCAAATCACAGCAGATGAGGACACCATAATAGCTGACAAGGAGCAATTATTCTCACTACTAAACGAGAAAAATGCATTGTTAGTATCAAACTTGGTGATGTTTGACACAAATTAAAAGTTCAGGTAAAAGCGATGGATAAATTAATAAAATGAGAACTGCAAAAATCAGATCTCCACAAGAAAATAGTGAATCACCAAATACCAGAATTCCCAATATCCTGGGAAGTGTCCCTGCTAGTGAAAATCAGCTCACAACAAAATTATGGGAATACAAACCAAAAATGAATCATAAGTAATAATCAACTTAACTAATGAAAACTATAAGTACGTCACTGGCAGCCTGAAGAAATTTCAAACCAATAACACGACTTCCTCAATCAGCCTAGAACAAAAACTGGGATCACAACCTGTTAATTGGGGGCGAAGAAGAAATAGAATCGCAAAAAAGAACATATAACATAGTAAATAAGAAGTTCAGAGGAGCAAAACAAAGAGTCTGGTTGCAAGCTTGATGGTTTAAAAAGTAGAACAAACTACGTCGAGGAAGATTTTATAGTGAGGAACCTAAAGAAAAATGAAAATAGAGTGTTTAAATCGTATATGATGGCTTCAAATATGAAGACATATTCTATAATCCTTCATTTTACTCACGTGGAGTACATTATGAAAGGGTGTTCAACAAATATTCGAAATTCAATACTAGAAGTGTTTATGATAAATGAACCCAGACCAGTTTCATTTTTAGAGTGCAAAATAATAACAGGACAGTAATTAAAGTAATGACATGACACCTCAGGTACTATTGTAAATGTAATTACCTCCAATAAGGTGAGTGTGTTTTATATAAATATCTGGTGTATTTCAAATTGAAAAATTGGAACTCTTTTCAGACAGATTTAATTTTAATGTGTTCTAGAACGTTGGCAATCTAGGATCAATGTTTCATCAGTTAATATCAATGGTTATGAATTAGCTATTTCGTTTTGCAGGAGTAGGTAATGGAGAACATGTTGTGACTGTGAGAACAACTGGCTGGTACTCTTTTCCTTCTCATGCAGCTTAGAAATGGTTTTAATTCTTCAACCCTGACTCTGTTTCATTCAAAATTGAACCAGGGAGTTACTCTTTGGGAAAATTCACCTCATACTGTTACCATTTTCCGTCAGCAGAAGAAAGCACTTACAATATTTGCTGATGCATCTTATAGAGAACATTACAAACCCTTATTTATTGTACATGGTATAATTCACTTACCAACTCTGTTCGTTTTCATTGTGTTACAAGACTACAACACCAGAGATGCAAAGCATAATTCAAACAACCCGCTTCAAACTGTCTGTATCGCAAAAAGTTCTACAAATCTTCATTTATGTAATATATTTGGGTGATGAATGAATTTGATTTTATTCGATTTGATAATATAATAATATAAGTTTATTCATGACATTTCATAATATATACGTCGGAAATAATAAACAAACTTCTAAATAAACTAATAATAAACTTGAGAAGTGAAACTTCTCAAGTTTATTATAATATCATAATATCATATCATCTTAATATCATAAAAAAAGATGCATCTTTATAAATACAATCTCAAATATATTCATATACAAAGTATATGAACATATGTAAAAAAAAGAAAATAATAAATGAATTCATATTATGTGAAAAAAGAAAGTAACAAATGAATACATAAATTTAAAATATATGCTTAATAGCAATATATGAATTAAATAAAATTATTCAGAAATATCATGGAAAAAATTCTTTTATTTTGTTTTTATATGAAAAAAAAAAGATTTGGAATTTTTTATATAATGAGACAGCTTATCAAATATATAAGGAATTATATACATGAAATTTTTTTGAGATATCTTTTTCTTCACTTTCTCATAAAGAAGAAAATCTTAGTTTGAACAAATTTAAAAACAAAATGAATCGATACCATCTTAAACGCTCTTTCTATTCCCTTGAATAAAATCACCATGCCAATTTCGGGTAATATTCTTTTGATAAATACACTAGTTGTTCAATGTATTTTATATCATTTGGATACATTCATCCTCTAGTTTTTACTGACATACTACATATGTAATGATATTTCTTGATGTACCTAGTGAATAAAAATGTTATGGTTAATTTGAAGGCTGTTTTGTATATATAATAATAATAAGTATAAAATTGGACCCAGTCACGACTCTTGTGGATTTGAATAATGTGAGCTAAAGATATCATTCAGTATCCCTTCAATTGTCATAGCCATCAGATTTTTTGAAAGACATGTAAGATCAACAAAGTAAAATGTGTTTCACTAAACAATTGTTTCTACAGACACATTCAGTACTGACACGACCAAAGAAGCTATTCGAATATACTTTTTTCTTGAGTATTTCTTATTTCATTGTTTTTAAATATATTTCATGAAGCAAGATCACAGTATCCAAAATGCAAACTTTAAAGTCAGGATTTCATTAGTTTTGAAGAATGGTTGACAAGAATCAAGAAAATTCACTTTATATACTCTTCTCACAGCTCGTTTCTGTAGGACGAATACTCTTTCTAATAGTACCTGATTGTCACAGCCCCATAATGATATCTCATAACGTAACTGACTCTTGATTATTGGACAATAGGCAGTCAATGCTGCGGTTAATCCGAAATCACAGGATGAAACATTGCAAAGTAGCTAGATGACAATTTATTTCTCACAGCAACGATATTTGATTCAAAGTTTAGGTTATCGTCAATTTGTAGCTCAAGGAATGTTGATACTGACTTACAATCAATCAGTTGATCGCCTAGTTTTATGTGATATAAATTCAATTCGAAAGTTACCAGGATTATTTGCATTTTTGCATCACACCCAATTTTTATTTTTTCAATATCAGAACCAAGACACTGAAACAAAACGATTTTCATTGTACAAGAGGATTGTAGCATCATCTGCAAACAATGTCAATCGTCCAAAAATATTGATGCTGACTATATCATTAATGAATAAAAGGAAGAGAATTGAGTCCAGAGCTATTACCCAGCAGTATTGCATTCGTAATGTAGAGTTACATTCTTCAACTCTCAGCTTAACACAGCGTAGTTACCCAAAATATTTTTTTAAGGTTAGACGAAACGATCCAGCCCCTTCCTCGACGCAGCTCTGACGAGAAGCCTCCTGACAGGCCCCCAAAGCTGGCCGCTCAGGAGAGGCAGCGCTCCCACTCCCTTACTTCCCCCTTGCCGAAAGTCCCCTCGGAGTTCCCTCCGCCGCCCAAACTACCGCCCAGAGGCGACGCCACCCACCAGGCGCCCCCGCACTTGTTCCTGCCGCCCAAGAAGCCGCCCCTGCCTCCCGTGCCGTCGCTAGAGGTACTCCGGCAGAAGAAGAACGTGCAGCAGTTGAAGACCGCTATAGAGCTGAGGACGGCGAGCATCGGATCGCCGGTGTTCCAGAGAAGTCGAAAGGTTTCCAACGATCTGGAAACGAACGGGTTGGATAACGTTGATAACAAATTATGCCCGAAGCATACTACTGCCGTTAGTACTCCCACGTCGCCGCATATGGGTAAGTACTCTCAGAAAGAAGAGATTTCACTTGTCCCACTTCTGACACCACTTCTATGTAGACATATTCCTATACCTACCATAATAATTGAGCAGAATTATTGATTGATGTAACGAAAAATTGCAGAACTCTGCTTGTAATAGCTTCTCTCCTTTTGAACTCATATATACAGGGTGTTCCTCTTTGGAACATATATTTCTATTAAAATATGTGGAATTTGTTTAGAAATAATTTTCTTATTACAATTATTGAAAACTAATGAGATAGTGATACGTTCTTGTATTCCTGTGTTCCTGCTGAAAAACGTTATATTAATCACTAAAATATTATATTAAAATGAAGAGATACAAGATAAACTTTAAATAATACCATAGTTTTACCCAGATACTGTGAATATTTGCTAGACTTTATTCATTCTCATTCAGAATCAGTTATTGAAAAAGGAATAATTTTAAGAGAAGTTTGAAAAAAATGGTTTGTAGATTGTTAATATTCTGTACGATTAATTTTTCAGGGCGCGGTTCGCATTTAAGGCTAGTCCCCGTACCTTTGGACTCTCCAGGCAGCCCAAAATACTCCCACCACCCTCAAGAAACACACTCTCCTAGATCGCCGACACACAGAAATCCTATCGAACCGTCGCCAATCGTTGATGACAGGCTGAAACCTCCTCTCCACCCGAAATCTACGCAGCAGGGAGGGAGTCAGACACGGAACGGTTGCACGTCGAACAGAGAGGATCTGCTGCAGAAGACCGACTTAGCCATGGCCAACTTGCTGGTGCGGCTGGACCAAGTTGCAGCGCAATGCTCAGCTGCTCAGCTGCACGGGGGAGGGAGGTTTATCAGCGAGGAGAAGTTCCAAGTGAGTATAAAAAGAATGACACCTCCTTCAAAATACATATTTTGAATTAGTTTAAATTTAATAATCACCTGCAGTAGTCGTTAAACACTTGATATGTTAAAAGCTATTTCTATTGATCTTTTTCAGTTTTTAAACTTGAACATCCTGAAAAATACTTAAATCTGTAACATCAAAGAATCTACTTAAGTGTAATACAGGTTAACTTACTCCAAAAAGTTACAGCTCTAGCATTCAATGTTGGTAAAATAAATACAAGTTTCGAAATTTACTGTACATTTATTTATTCATTGTTTAAAACATAGATGATAAGTATTTTTTATACCGTATATATCTTATACCATCAATTTTGATCGCCATGTAATGTAATCACTCTTGAGGTATAGAATACCTTTTTGAAGATATGCAGTTCTAGCTTACTGCTTACTTACTTACAAAAAAATTGAGTATATGTACAAGAGATTACTGTTCATGCTCTAAATTTGAAGCTCTGAACTATCCAGAGGGCGGCCACATCATCAACCACTTTTCACAATGGCGGAATGAGTGATCATTAGATCAGAGAGTAGCTAAGGACTCCTATAATTATAATAATAATGATAATAGCGATTTATTTTCCCAAGAAACAACAAGGTTCCTAGTAGGAAAAAAACAGCAATTCAAACCATATTATAACAAAGTAAAGAACAACCAGTTTAACAGAGTGGTCTGGGCAGAGTCTATGGAGTTCAAAAAGTAAGTATCAGTATTATAATCTCAAGAGTTGTTTTGAAGACACCATCCTGGCAAGCCGTCATGAATCTCTTGATTTCTGACTTCAGCCCACTTGACCTGTGAAAAGTGAGTCAGGTTCTTGTATAATTCAAGGTAATAATATTCTTAAAATGGAAATCAATTGCAAACGCTGAGTGTTTCGAGTTACTCTGGCTGGAACATGAAGTCAACTTTTCTGATAAAGATAAGTTGTTCTTATTGCTCAACTATTTATCTTTAGAACGTGGAATATCATAATATCTATAAAAAAAATTACAAAAAAATGTAATAACTAGATAAGGTTTCGATTTTCTTCATAACTGAAAATTCATTAAAAAATTGTTTCTGAGTACTTTAGTGAACTTTGACATTATCATTCATTAAGCGCATTTATAAGTTGAAGGTTCGATCTTCCTTTTATAAAACAGCCTACTATTTGCGACCACCTAATCTCACAAATATTTTTCAGGTAGCGAAAGAGGAGCTTACGTCCCAATCCCTCCAGCTAGTCACTTCAAGTAAGATGCTGGTGATCGCGATGTCAGACCCGAGCCTTCCCGACCTACCGGAGAACCTCGCCATATGTCTCACGATCCTCCGGAGACTGACGGAACTCTGCCAGGACCTCGCCGACCACACGACCGCGCCTCTGCAGACACGTAACCTCGTGCTGAAGGTGAACGACGTCACCGCAGCCTTTCGCCACCTCCTCACCTCCGACGTGGACCGCAGCTCGCGAAGAGCAATTGAAGAACATCTGGCAGCGCAAGCTGAGTCCTTGGCCAACGTCTTGGCCACGCTGCTGCGCAGCCTCAGGGTGTTCTCGCCTTGAGCAGGATGCTCACTGGGTATTGTAGACAGTTTTGCAAGTTTTTACCGGGTTTTCGTTAAGTTTTGTCAACGTTCAATTCAGCTCTCTTTCTCTTTCTCGAAGGTTTTGGATGCATAGGAGGATTTGAATTTTTTATGGGAAAATTCTTTTCGTTCGAAGTCAGCAAATGCAAGTTTTGTAGTTGTAGACCACTCATTTGAGTGGTCCTATCTTTGGGTCGTTAGCATGACTACGTTGGTACTCAGAGATCATATTGAATTATAGATTTTTTTAGGCTAAAGTAGTACTTTTGACTAACAGATGGCACAAATAAAAGAAACCTGTAATACAAATGTAAGCTCAAGTCTATTAACCTTATACATGGCACTACATTTGTGCCATATATGCATTAGTCAAATCAGTGTGTTCTCAGTCATTTGCTCCCTAGGAATTGCTTTCTTTGTACAAATATATTTTGAACACATGAAAAATGTTATTTTCAAATCATGGAAACACGAATCATTTAGGATACGGAAATGAAATTTAAGTGAATATCTAGTTTTAACTTGATATTTACTTGATATTGGTGAATATCAAGTTTAAACTTGATATTCATAATTTGGAACCTCTGGCATAAAATGAATCCATCATCAGGAAGTAACTAAAACTGCTTATAACGGCTCTGTTAATGTTTTTATATCCAGAAGAATCATTACATGTCATAATGTATAATTAACTCCTAGTATTTTGTTACTGTTCGAATTGTTATTGCTACCTGAATGATACCTAATCTTTACTTGTTTTCTTTCTGTTATTTTATAAAAGTATGAACAGCGGCCTGTTAGGAATCAGACTTTTATCTCCATTCATAGATCTCATTGTACATTTGGAACAAGTTTTTGAATGTTTTCGAATTCCATCTTTAATGTCATATTCCCGACTTTCTTGAAATCTTGTCTTTTGTCTTTAAATTTCAAAATATATTTTTATGAATTTCCTGACTACTATCTTGAAATTCTGATGAATTTTCATCACGAAATTCCTTCTTTCATCCCATAATTTCATGATTCCGTTTTACCCAAACCTGAATTTTGTCTTGTATTGGGGTTCAAAAGTGCCCAAATGTAACCTATCACTAATTTCTCTAGATCGAATTTTGAAATACTTGCAAGTGCATTAGTCAATACAAATTTTCAAACTGAATTATGCTGATGTCAAATAAGTTCATGAATCATCCAAGGGATGACTATGGCGACTGACTTGTACAATTCTTTCATTGCTGACATACTTTCTATGCTCGAGTAAATCTCCTATTGGAGAGAAATATAAACATTTGCTTTTCAATGTTTTTCGTCAGACATCTTTCCCCATTCATTAAAATCCTCTTTCTGCATTCATTTTATTTTAAAAATGGTGAAGGGAACATTCTTTATAAGTCATAGTTATTGTTATTGCATATAATTTTTACAAAAGTATCATCTGTTGCTATTTATGAAAGTAATAATGTTGAGCGTATTTGTTACTGAAGGAAACCGAGGGTGATAAGAGTTTTATTGTAGTTATTGCATAGTTTAGAGATTGTTTTATTCATTGGGGCGATTTAGCTCTAGATAGTTGTAGATTATAGATTACAATGTTTATAGTTTTCACCCTTGGTTGGTTGAGTGGTTGAGTTTATATTAAGGATTGTGGATTTGAGCTTATGTGATTCAAAATTTTTTAAGAAATGAAATGATTTTGAGATCATAAGCTCATATCCAACTTATCTGTTGGTTTGGTACGTTTTGAGTTTTTGTGTACCTTTTGAAGTTTTCTAGTCATATTTGTTGTTTTTTATTTAAGTGTTAAACAAGATCAAATAAGGCTCTAGAGAAATCTAAAAAATCTATCGAAAAGAGAATTTAATTTATAACACTCTTCATTTGTTATCTTGAATAAACAAAGTGAGTCATGAGTAACTAGAGGGCCCCTGTAAACTAGAAGATACGATTTCTTTGAAATATTTTTTTTTTGTGGAGGATTTGATGTTTTTTGGATTTCTAACTTTCCACAATCTAAAAAATATAGGTAAATCAATAGAGAATCTGCACAAGTGTAATAAAGGGCAAACTGAAAAGTCACCACAAAAAATTACTGCGTAATATAAACCTTTAAAGAGCCTAATTATTCCACAATTTGTATTTCTAAATTTTGCCTTTCAATGAACTGAATGATTGAAAAAATAAAATGCCTATTTCTTACCTTTTTCAATACTATTTACGTTTCAGAAAAAGGTACTTTATCATTTTCAAAACCAGCAAAAACTCTATTGAATATGGGTCTTTCAAAAATTTGTATATTTTTTGACAAATGTCTTTTCTCATTTCGAGTAATTAATTGAACTAGAGTAACAAAATTTCTGCATCGATTTTAAAAAAATTACAAAAAAATGACATCTCTGAAGTGACTGTAGAGTTCAAAAAACAGAATGGAAAAGGGGTGTTCCATTTGAAAAAACGTAACTCAGTACATTTTTCAGGGGCACCTGTATATTTGAAAATAATTCTAATACAGCGCCACAGGTGACCACAAGTAAATGTTTCGTATACATTCCCGGGCCCATCTTATTACTCGAGACTCACCCTATAAATACACCTATATATCTGAATGGTTCTTAAGATTTCTCTCACCGATTCAAATGATATGACTTGACCAAATATTACGATATAATAACCATACTGAAAAACAATTTACGTAAGTATTTGTGAAATAAGTCTGAAATTTTCGAGGGAATACTCTTTATGTGATATTGTATGTTATCAATTTTTGTTCGCAGGCTTAGACCGGACATTTTCAAAAATAATGTATGGAACAATAATAAACAGAATACTCGCGTCTGTCCATATAAAGTGTTCGTCACAAAGTATTATTTCGTAGGCTAGCTAGTCAAAATCGGTACAATAATATTACATTTTTCGAGTTACCTGTATACCAATACAATTGTTTGTTTTATTGTCTCTAGAAAGTACGCAAATCGATGCAAGGGAAATCATAACAGGATTAAAATTAATTTCATTCCATCATAATGAACCCACTCCTCAAGTAATTATTCTGACAGCATATATTTCGAATACACAGTCAGTCCATCTTTATATATTAGTCCTGATATGATTTGTCTTGCTTTGTTATATGTATATATTGTTTTATTTTGAATGTTAATCGATTATTATAATGAAGTTGATTATATTTGTTGTTATTAATTGATATTTTCAATAATTGTTTTTAAATTTTGTGTCACGGAGATGACACTTGTTTGTTCTTAGAAAAAATGTTCGTCTGTCAATCTGAGAACATCCATTGTAGCATTAATTAGAATATTGAAAAGGAAAAAGCAATTCTTTGCCTCGAATTCGACGTGATCTCAATATATAAGCTGAGCCTCCAAACGTGAGTGAAGGGGCGTCTGCTTGAACACTGTCCAATGGAATGAAAGAAAACAGCTTGTAATCTGCCATGTTATCTGTTACCACACTTAGATATTGATTCGTAAGGCTTGAGAAATGTAAGCATTAATTTTTCATCTAACCAGACGAATGGAGAAACATATATTTTATTTCACATCACTAGTTTTTTTATGGAAGTGTCAGATTTATTAAGTTTTTAAGGTTTTATTATACTTTGATTTTCTTAACACTCTTATACATGTTTTATTATAACATGTATTAATATTCTAACATATCTTATGAATGTATTGAAAATGTAATAAACTGATTACTGAAATACTAGTGTTTATAATAATTAATATATTTATTTATTTCAAATAGGCATCCTAATATACAAAAACTTTTTAAAATTGGATAGACAAAGTCACAGTCCAACTTCATAACACTAAAATATGTATGCTCAGAATTATCCATTCAATAAATAGGAAAAATAACAATGTAAATTACAAATACTAGATATATATGTTATTATATTATCAACTTTAATGTGGATGTTGTATCTTCAAATGACTAGTAAGTCCTTTTTTGAATGTCATAATAGATTCACAACTTAAAAGTGTAATTTCAAAAGATTGGGGCAAAATGGTGAGAATTATAAAACCAACCCTATAAAATTGATATGCTAATCAATATCTTGATCAAGATATTTCGAGATGTGAAGATTATTATTAATAAATTGGGAATGTTAGAATATATGAGCAAGTTATTATGAAAGATACAGTGAAGTGAAATCATCAGGCTGTTAAGGAAAAAAAAAAGAAGTTGAATCAAACTGAATTGAATTCTGTTGGAGTTTTAATATACGGAATGCTTCTTCTGAAGCTTTCTGGGTTAATTCCATTAAGAGGAATCACACGTGTTAGGAAACACGTTAAAAGGTAAGACCTCGTTAATTCTTAGCTCGCACAAGTTTCGACTTCTGAGGGTTGTCGTTCACAGGGATGCGACAGCTGGTTAAGGGAAAACAGATTTTAAACAGAGACAGAAGCACCTCCTATTCAAACCTTGAGCTTTGGAATGGACTTGGTTATGTAACATTTCAGAAATTCACACAATAATGTAAGAGCGTCATATCAGCTTATTTAGTGGATCATTCTGAAAGACCACGTTTTCCTACCCACTGGTTTGGAGATTTGTCATCTAGTCACTTTCAAACCAGCCTGTCGTAATTAAGAAGTACTCCATTTTGCTGAAAGGAAACATCAGTTGAAAACTCATTTGGGTTTGTCAGTTATCCAAACCAGAAGAGCCCACTAAATCACTTGATATGACGCCTCTAGATATTTTTGAGGGGATACATGTCATCTGAAGAAGTGTACGTATTGGATAGAGAATTGAAATATCTATTGAACGAGGCATCACAAAACCCCCCTTTCCATTTGAAAAAGGTTAGTAGCGCCCTCTCGATAAATGATGCAATACTCTTGTCTTTCTTATCAAAAAATACTGTACATTTGTACAAAATGTACATTTTTTCTGACCTTGACATCTTGTTCCGTTCAAAAGTTAAGAGGTATAGGAGTTATAGGAATCATCGACAAGTAATACAAGCTTTTTTATACATATAACTAATTAATAGTGCTCAACATAGCATATATAGGCACATATCAGTTACACTTCAAAATAACTTTCATTATTCAATTTCAATATTCTTGCAATATCGCGAGCTTATATAGATCAAGGGATTATAGTTTTGTAAACCAATAACTCGGATTCAAAACTCAAATGCCGCGTGATTCTCGAGGTGATTTTCTAAAATAAATCTAATATATTTTATGTTCTGTGGTAATTTCTAATCACTAATTTTCTATATGAAATATTGATTTGCTTCAATGGAGGAGGAGTATCTCACAGGAATATTTTCCTTCAAAACTAATTGGTTTCAGGCAGAAATTTATTCGTTTGAGATTGTGAAATTGAACTTACTGAAATTCAATTGCCCACTGACTTACCGCGAATTTCATTTAAAATTTTTCACGCTGTTAGGGGTGTTGCTACTGTTTATACTATCTTCATTTACAATATCAATATTACTAAAGTTAATGCAAATGTTATAAATATACGAATATTGTTTGGTAAACCTTGTTTGTCCATCGAAGGTGGTTGTGAAATTATAGGAGGGAAAATTAAGTTTGAGGATTACCTTTTCTTCATTGTCTGTAGGAAAATGTATGTTAGTCTCCTTACAGGAAAGTATTTTTACGAATATATTTTCAAATGAGAAATCGAGCAGATCACCTAGAGATTTTAAAAATGTATCAAAATTTCCCTGGTTCGACCTATAGATTGTTATTATTAGATTATTTTAGTATTCAAGCTGTGGACTTGGCATCGATTACAGTACAGAAATGACACATCAATATCTTATGCAAGCTGATTATCTTTTACAAGAATTGCAACATCTCGATGTTTAAACTTCTGCCTATAGAAGAAATTTAAACTCCTACAATTGTAAATATTGGAGTTGTTCAATTGTTATACATGTTATATTAACCACATGACATACATATTTCACTGAAACATATAGAGTGATTCGAGAAAACAAAATGACTGTGATCAAATGGAACTTGTAGTACCAAACAGCATACATTTTGTTTTCTCTAATCATGAGTCCGCTCGTAAAAGTCTATGTTCTTATAATGATATGGAATATTTGATAAAAACATTTTTCAAATCATCTAGTTTGTTACATCAAGATGAGAAACACTCAGAAGTCACTTGTTCTACGAATGTCATACAGTTGAAGATTGGAGTTACAAAAAAATATTTCTGGGTTTAAGACTATTGGATGGGAGTATATCCATCTTATTTGTAAAAAAGACATTGGTTGAATCATCTGTACTACCTCATTGTTACTCATCATTTAAGAAACCTCCTATTTCAAAATTGAAATAGTTGTATATTGTTGGCTAAAAATCAGGGTCAGAACAATTAGTTCCTTAAAATCTGGTTCCAGCCTGACCATGAGTCACTTGTAATCTTTCCACAATTTGGTTTTTTTCAAGTTTTTTTATTCAAACATGATCTGTTTTTGCGTGCTCTTTCATAAATTTCTATATCTATATCCTTTTATTCATGCTTTCCACAAAAGCAATCATTTCCTTCACCATTGCCTACATTGCATCATTTACTCCTTCCTGTAACCACTACACAACAATACAGATTTTCTTCATAATTTTCCGTCGACCGATGATATCTTTCATTACCTTTTTGACTTTATAGTATTTAGGGAGCAAATTGATTCCACATTGAAAATTCAATCACCCTGTTCGAGAATTTCTTTCCTCTGGGTTTTCTCTGATTCTTTCATAGGATTTAGTTAATATTCAGTTTTTTCAACATGGCCTTTGGTTGGTTGGTTGGAATTTTTTGTGAAATGCTATGTAATAAAAAAATAAAACCCACTTAAGTTCTTCATTATATTATTTATTGACCATTCAACAATACAGATATGTACATTAAGACAAGTCAATGAGAAAATAAATTAGTAAAAATGATACAAATACAAAAGATCTGCGTACACCTGCTTGTATACAAGAGTGTACACGCTAATACGTAGCAATAAGCGAAATTAAAAATATTAAATTTACGATTATGACAAAAACACAATGAATCGAAAATATTCACGAAGACATTTACTATTGCTGAAAAAGGCATATTCGAATAGGCAACTGAGCACCTCGTTTGATTCAAACTCTAGGATTGCGATTTAGATGTGCTGACATTACTATTATTTTTAATCAATACATTGAGAAATTTATGAGAATTCGTAACTGATGAAGCAATAGGAGAAGTTATTCAGTTTCAAAAATATGAAGTACTAAGCGAGAAGAAGATATGAAAATGAATGAAAACCTAACAATACGAAAATTTGCGATATTCTCTAGATATAAGGTTCTACCACAATTACCACTCAATTTTAGTTCAGTTCTACATAACCACTGATAGTTTTTTCAAAAAATTACTCTACGAGACAGTGCCAGTGACAGAGACGAGAAAAGGCAAACCGTGAAACCTTACAAAAATGATTTGAAACCAAGTATTCAGTTAGCTGCAAGCTTTGAAGAATATGTAACATTTGCTCTCGTTCATCCTAACCTGCCACAAATGAGCGTCAAACAACAAAACTGATAGCACATTACAAAATCTGTTCCTCAGAACACGGATGAACATCGACGGTAGACCAGGAAAAATATTATTCCTAGTGGTTGATCACATGAAGCGCAAAAAATCTGTCTGACAAGAGTTCCTTATGAACCTAACTACAACTGTTAAACAAACAACATGAAAACGAAATCAACAATTAACAATGAGAAGAAACAAAATATTGCAAACGCCCTAGTTTAAGAATTTTTTTTCAAATGTGATCTAGAGTGGGCCTAGGGTAACACCTTGTGGAACCCCAAATGTTGCGCTAAACCGCACTGATGGGTGATTCAGCAGTTACAGTTAATATGTTTGCCTTAATATAAAAACCAAAAAATAACAAGCAGATAATTTTTCTACCAACTCGTAAACATAACATCAAGTTCCTATACATAGAAGTTGTTTAATCAGAAGCATGGGTACAAATCGAACCACTGTTCAAGGGTACATTGAAAGGAATTTACCAAAAATAATGAGCTACAACTCTCATTGATTCGATAACTATTGATATTCAGCTTATGAAATAATAAAATTATTTCTTTATTTTTGTACTCGACATGATCACAATTAACCTACTAAATTTTATCGCGAGTAAACTATCTAAAAGAACTGGCAGTGAACATACCTTTCCTTAAAAAGTACATTAATTTTGTGCCAACTTACAAATAAATCATAAAAATTGAAAACGAATATAGAATATTTCCCGAAAATGTCCACCTTCACTGTTTACACCTAAATAATATTCAAATAGTTCGACTTATCTAATATTGAACGGCCAACGCACGTGCCAGTTATTTTAAATGTTTTTTTTTTATAACAGAAATATCATTTTCACATGGAAAACATTTTGATATGGGACTAATTTAGCACTATTTTTATAGCAAATGTTTTTTTTCAAATTACTTTATGGCTCAATATATCAAACTAGCTCAATTCGAAACTACTGGTATTGAACTTGATTAGCTCCGTTTAGAATTCCAATAAGACATCTAGATCGTAGATCAAAATTGTACACTTTACTGAATATTGATACAATTCATTTTTGATTGCTAATCTCATATCAATTTGAAGATCATTCGAACTCAGTATGTAGGACTCATCTGATTTCCACTTGAGCTAAATAAGAATTTTCGCTGGATAACTCAAATATAAATAATTATTTTTATTCAACTTGCAATATTCTTTATTTGATTTCTTGCATTCTACATCTAACATGTCTGACAGGGGACTAGTTTTTATGTATCCCCAATGATAAGGATATCAAATGAAAAGGTTTGCAAAAAATGGGGAAAAATAATGACACTCTCTAATAATGATGAAAGAGAGGACATTGGAAGATCAAGATCTTTAGATGATGTGGTTCTGCAGGTTAATCCGGATTTTCCTGCAGCTGAAAAAGCAAATGCGCCACCGAAATCAATCAAGTCGCCCCAGTGCACCAATTTATTTTTGTCGTTTCATAATTCCATAATTTGTATTACTTTTTTTTATATGTTTCTATAATTAAAAATTCCTTGAAAATGAAAAAAAATTATTCATCACCATAGTATGGATATCAAATAAGAGTTCAAGTTTAACTTGTTTACTTTACTACTTTGGACAATAAAACATATTTCGATTGATTGATACCCATTGTATTTCAATTATTTTCAATCACAAGTAAGCCTCAGTATTTTCCTACCTCAAAATATGATCTCAAACGTCCAACTCATTCATCATTTCACTCAGGAGGTGAAATTGAGTATACCCCACCAGGGGTACAAATGTGTCTCATTTGAGAGTAATAGCTGTTAGAGTATGTTACACCAATTTGTAAGTTTCATCTTGGACCAGTTGGTAGAATGTCGGGACTTGAGTCCTGGGTTCAATCTTTGTCTCCAGTCAATTTGTCTTACTCAATTTTCAAACTATTCGAAATTGAATATAATAACAAATTGAATATTTTCTTGAAGTTGCTTCTTGTTATGAAATTTAATGACATTTCTTTCAGTCAGGATATTCTGCATAAAGCAGATAACATACCTGTTACTCAGAATTTTTCAAGTGTCTGATTTATTCGAAATTCTGACTTCAGCCTAGCACGTCTTTACCTAAAAACCAAGAAATTTCACCAAAAACATTTTGCATAAAAATAGTGCAAGGTATTTTTGATACTTCATATATATATAAAAAATAATTGCAGTTTAAATAAATCATTTTAAAATGTTCCATCTAACATTGACATAGAATTTGATTTTGCTTCAGAGTAGCAAATAAAAGCTGAGAAAGAACAATAATTCTAATGTCAATATCAACCATTGACAACTATCTTACACACTCCATTAATGAAATTCCTTCTATACATAAGTTTCAAGCAGCTTTTTTTAATAAATTTTCATGTATTTTAGTATCCATACCACTAAGTAGTGCTTCTACAATATAAAAAAATATATATAAATAATATTGTAAACTAATGAAAAATAGGCCAAGCGTGCAAACTCGTGTAGAATTTCAAATTGAACTAGAAGGGTCTTCTAAGCAGGACTTTAATTGCTACCAATAGTTTTGACAGGGTCTCAAATCCCTCTTACATGGCACTAGGCGAGTTGAGTGGTTGAGTTTTGGTCCTTCGGGCTGGATAACGCGAATACTACTGGGTAATTAATGATAAGTAAACGGTAACTTTTTCAACGGTGATCACTTCAAAAGAGAAAAGTTTACAAAAAGGAGTCCTGCTGAATAGTTCTGAATGGCTATACGACCTTGCTTGGCTAGTATTTATGAATATATCTTCATTTTTGGGGACTAATCAGCAAGAGATAAGAAGTAATTGCTTTTCAAGGTGTTTCGTTTCTAGTAAGTTATTAATGAGTGTAAACTGAAGTACCGAATTATATGAAAAATAATAAAGTATTTATTAAATAAAATGGTTGTTATAGTCGTGCCAAACTCTTTAAAAAACTTTTCATGAAAAATGTCGAGAAATATTATCTGCTTCCCCCTTATTGCTGCTACACCAGAGTGCTCTAGTTTGTGCCCATTAATACTTTGATAAGCGCTCGGAATTATGTGAGAATCAGAAGAAATCTTCAATGACAATTGTTGAAATTGTAAAGTAAGTTACTCAACAATGGAAGTCCCATTCAGAGAGCTACTAAAAAAATAAAATGATATGAGCTGGATAACGAATATAGTCTGTTAGAAAATCGAATGCGGCACGTTAAATACACCTTAAAAATAACAATTTCAATATTACAGTTGCTATAGTTATTAATAGAAATTGAATGACATTGTATCATTACTGGCAACTAATGGCACCTGACAAGTAAATTATTCATCTGTAAGCGTTGTGATCGGTGAGTTTGTTGCGGTATTTTCCTTTGAAAATATAAAAGTGGTATTTGTGAAGAAGGCAAACAAATCTATTCACTCGCTAGTATTGAAGTAGTCTGCCGCGTTGCCTCTGCAAATGGGACAGGTTCTGTTCGACTGAAAAATAAACCAAGAGATGAGTTACTAGCTAAAACGTTTTAACAAATTGATTCTAAAAANATAATAATGGCCGCGAGTTTGCGTCAGATCGAAATCGTCAGATTATTGAATGAGAGCTTTTTTTGTTGAACTTAACACCCCCTTAAAAAATCTGACGCGCTCGATTAAATTTTTTTTCCTTTCACTTTTAACCCTTACGTACATCCACCCACATCATGCAAACGATCAGATTAACATTATTAAAAATAAGTAGGACATTCATGCTATCAATATCTGACGCACTCGAGTATGTCCATGCAACAGTATTTTCTTACATATTTAAAAATCTATGGCCGCTTCCTCCACCAATGAAAAGGTATATATTATTTAACATTTTTTTTTCTTCCTATCATCTAAGCTTTGCAATCTAATATATCTCAATGACGCTCGAGTAAATCCCCATTTTGCATCGTGGGCTCCCCTGCTATTGGAATGACAGCAACAACTTGTAGCCAAACACAAAATATTTTGGAATATAAAGAGCTATTCAAATTCGAGTGTACCTATGTATGGGGATCTCATAAACAGTAGGAGATAGAGAGTTGGTTGAGCCGTGGAAAATTTACCTATTTTCGGATACTATTGAATGATACCAAGAAATCGACTGTAGCTTTTCAGCTCCGGAGATATACAGGAAAAACAAAAAAATCGGAATTCCATTTCTTGGTGTATCTTATTCATTTGCAGAGATGTTGCCATTTGAGCTTTCATTGCTTTATCAGAATATAAACATAGAATGTTTCAAACTTGGGACAACTAAAACTTTGAAATTTCAAATACGGACCATTATATTTGCAGCAATTTTTTGAAAGGTAATGTTCATTTAATTGAATTGTAGATTTTTCATTATTCTTGAGAAATTCGATAATTTGATCATCAAAATGATTATTTTTTTATTGTGACCCAGATGATAACTCGAATGGAAGCAATTCTCACTTTCTTAAGGTACCACAGCTCATTCTCAAAACCTTCATCAAGTACCTGATATGAGTTTGTATCACTATACTATTTCCTCAATTAGGTTTTCTCATGTCGTATAACTTCCAAAAACTTCAAACATTTATGTCCAGCCCTCATTTCGGATTTTGTGGTGTTTTATCTGGAGTCAACAAGTAATAAAAAAAAGCATTATTGATAAAAAATGAGCTTGTATTGGCCTCAAACTGTGAATGAATTTATATTTGTACTAGATGGACTAATACACAGATGGCACTACTAGTTCTAAATCCATATGACTTTTAGTAAACCCTAAGTTTCAAAATACACATGTACAAATTTCACAGCTCTCGGACTATTAGTTTGTGGGATAGAACATTTTGAGTGGAGCAACTCTTTTAACTCTTTCATTCTTGGTGGTGCACAAATGGTACCACGTTATTTAATACCGACGTGTCATAGTGGTACATTTCATGAATCACTTAATCAAAAATTATATCCAAACGCTACGCTAGCACAGAAAGTATACCACTTACTTATATGTATTACTGGTCATCTACTTTAACTTTTCAGGCAGTCACCACTTGTTGGGACAATACATGACGGTTGTGTACTGTCATTGAGGTTAAAAACGCGTGGAGTGTGAAAATCAAAACTTCTTTGGGTCTACTTAGTGGAAGATAGTTGAATTTCATTGAACATTTTCTATGAAAGTGATTATTTAATGTGTGATTGATCTTTACAAATACTGGTTAGTATAAAATTTGCTTGTATAAAATACTTTTGTCGAAAATCGAGGAGGTGTTATATTTGTACCACCGTGACACACGCGTGTTTTCTGTTTAGAAAATGGATGACTTGTCGTTCAGATTACAAGGATGGACTATGGTGAAGTTTTTACAAAGATAAGAAAATCTTCCATACGATCAGGAGTCGGTTGTGGATGATTTCGATAATCTAAATCAAATAAATGAATCTGAATATGCCGCAGAAAATAACGATAATTTTGAATCAGACATGTTGCCAAACGAAGAATTATCGAAATATTCAGATGACTCTGATGATTCTGAATGGAATATGCCATTGAACCAAGTTAGGACCAAAAATTTACATTTACGAGCCAAAGCGTCAAAATAGCAGCACCACCTGATTTTATCCATTATTCAGGAATAACTGCTATATTGGGAAACATTTCATATCCCACCCCATACAATTTCTTTAAACTACTTCGGGACGATGAAATTATAGAAAACTTAGAGTTTCAGACGAATTTGTATGCAACACAAAAAAATCAGAGATTGGGAAAGATTTGATTTGGGAAGATTTGAGCCTACAAATCTCACGGAAATCAAAACTTTTCTGGGCATAAATTTGTTAATGGGGATCAAGAGCCTTCCTAGTTACAAAGACTATTGGAACTCAAGCCCTGATTTACATGATGCATATATAAGCAAACTTATGCCACTTAACTGCTTTGGTTGGCTGCTAAATGATATTCATATCAATGATAATGAATTATTGCCAGATAGACTAGATCCAAATTTTGATAAACTGTATAAGGTGCGTCCCTTTCTCACTAAACTCTCCAAAAATTTTGAGAAATGTTTAGAACCTGATAAATGTGTTGCGATTGACGAATCTATGATTAGATTCAAAGGCAGAAGTAGTCTCAAGCAATACATGCCAAAAAAAAAACATCGAACGTGGGTATAAAATTTGGGCACTAGCAGATAAAAATGGCTATTTATACAGATATGAACTATATACAGGTAAAATGGTTGATAGAGTTGAAGAAAATTTGGGTGCAAAAGTGGTAAAGAATTTGATGTGTGGTCTTGAAGGAAAAAACCATCATCTCTACTTCGATAATTACTTTAACTCCTATAAGTTGCTCTTAGANAATTTAGAAAAGATATTCACTTGAAGAAACATATTATTTATTATAGGTTATTTTTAGAAAGACTTCTGTCAGAAACTTGAAATTAGTTTTGAACTAGACGAGGTAAATTCATTTAATGTTTGAGGTCAATAGCAACTAATTTTTCTTGGACAAAAACATGTATTTTCTGTTACTGATAGACCTCTGTATAAACATCCCGTGAGCCAAAATGAGAGCTGGAAAAATTTTTCTTGACGTTAAAGTTGTACGACGAAGGTGGTTGGTCCTCACTGGAAATTATTAGAGGTACTTTCGGGTGCTTAGTAAAGTTTTTGAAAATACACTATGAGACAGGCAGTGAGTACGGCTTCCATTTGAGTGGTTATCGGGACCATAATGAAAAAATTATAATTTTTTCGCGACCTCCGGTGTTGCAGTTTGAAAATACTCAATATTTTCAATGAAAGTACTACACTTTTGAACTTCTTCAAACAATTTTACAAAATTTCAAGTGTGTTTCATTAGTTGCGATATTTGTTAACAGAGGTTGAACTCTTAGGATTACGGCAAGCTAATGTAATTCAAGTGCTCAGCAGTTTTTGTGAATCTCAAAATGTCAGTGAAAAGTGAGATTAATGAAAAATAACTGCAAGGCGAAAAATTGAAACGGCATCAAAGTCATGAAAGTATGCCCAAAGTATTTCATATTTCAGAAATACTTTTCACTAATTCAAATAATTCGCTGAGGTACTTTGAGGCAGACACAAAAAATGGATACTATTCCTCAATAATTTCAATACATTCTCAATAATTTTAAAAACTAGTTACTCCATTATTACACTGAAACTGAAATAGTTTTCAATAAATGACACTTTGAATTCACTTTACCTCAATGAATTTCGTAAAAGACTGGGTTTACCAAATCAAGTACTCTTATTGCATTTGAGAAAACGTTTCGGTTGTTGAAGTACACCGAGAAAACGTAGCAGTTCTCGATGTACACTGAGAAAAGTATCACTTCCCAAATTCCAATGGGAAAATGTACACAACTCCAAGTACTGACAAGCAGGCAGAGACAAATTAGGTAATAAAAACAAATTTGTACCAAAACATAAATTCACTCACCCTCAGCCACTTGTCGATGCACTTGGCATGGAACTCGTGCGAGCACGGCAGCACCCTAAGCATCTGCCTCGCCTCGAAGTCGCACATGCAGACGACGCATGAAGTCTGATCCCCCTGATGTGTTTCCTTATCATACTTGTAGCTTACGAGAAGCTCAATCTCCAACTTGCTCAGCCCGCGCGGGATCACCTCGCCGAGTTGTTCAGCCAAGTTGAGGAGCGCCTCGTAGTTCTCCGTTTCAGTCGTATCGGAGCTGCTCTGGCTGTACGGCGACATTGGAGAGTTGGAGATCATGGTGCTAGGGGAATATGAAACGCATTTATTACAATGTGAAAGATAATATCAACTTGATTTAGAAGATATCACATAATTAGATATTTAGAATATATAATTGGAAAATAAAGGAATTTATGCCAGATACAGTTTTCATGCTGCATTTTCTTTATGAAGAGCTAAAAAATTGATAAACTTTGAAATGACAAAAAAAAGTGAACTGTTGTAATTGGAGAAATTGAAATTATATTGGAATGCAAAATGATATCTTATGATATGAATATTTTAGAACAGTTTACATAATAGTTTACAAAACTAAGATTCACGTAACTCCCGCGGGGGCGGCGATGAGCGGGGGGCTGTGATGCCAGCGGGTCCTGCGGTGCTGGCGAGTGCGAGCATGAAGGAGCTCCAACGCGTTGGCGCCGCGCGGCTCCGTTGAGAGGAAGAGCGACGTCGGCGAAGACATCTGAATGGGGGGCACGTGCAGAGAGGGGGGTCCGTGGAGGGCGGAGTGGGCGTGAGCGTGGTGATGGTCGCTGAGCAAGTCCAAGTCAAAGGTGTCAGGTCTCTGTGGAAGTCACACAAAATTCACAAGTCACGTATTTGCCATTATTCAATACAAGATTGTTAAGCTCAATCCTATTTTTAGCATTACAAAATTCTCGTTAAATTATATTTCTATATTTATAAGGGGAGGTAGTTAACTATTTTCCCTTCCAGCTTACCAACAAACTCCCTATAAAACACTGTTTTCAGATTTCAAATGTATTGGTTACTTTTATACTTGATAATGGGATAAAACCCAAAACCGGTCATAAAAATAAATTAACTAGTGGAAATTAGATAAAATTTCATTAAAATGAAATAAAAATAGCATTTATATCGATTTGATTCATTCTTATATTCTTTCAAGAATCAGATTAACTATGAAGAAACTGAATATTATTATTAAATAATATGATTCAGCAACGTTACGTGGCTGACGGACTGCGAATAACCATGATGCTCCCTAGGTGGCTCGGAGAGTTATTAACATTGCCCACCCAGGACACGAGGCTAATGAACAATGCAGTCGATGTCGGTGACACACAAAAAAATTGATATTTTGTATTCATACTATTCTATATTATTTCAATTGTTTATTTTTCTCTCACACTATTTATGTTTATTGTAAAACGGCAAGTCAGTAAATAAATGAATATAGTATTCTGGAAATTTTTTAGACAGTGTTCATTACCAGATTCATCACTTCAGTGTTCATAAAAACGCGATTTTCTTTAGAAAAAGCCAAGGAAACCAAACTACAATGTGACTGGGATAAATATAAAATAAGTCGTAATTTCGTTACCAAAAAGTTACGAATTGAAACTAAAAAGTATCATGAATCAAAGATGGACGAAAATAAAGGAAACAGTAGGACTATGTGGAAAGCACTGAAAGGTTTAGTAAAGGGAAATAGAAAACTAGAGTTCAAAGTATTCAAACATTCTAATGAAAGACCAACTGGATTTGAATAGATCACCATTATTGAACTTTTTTTCTTAAAAACTGAGAAAGAATTATTATTGATGTAGATGTGAGGTAATATGCTTCAGGCGATCATAATTGACCAGGTACCTTAGGTAGAAGTTTAGGTAATTTTTTGGAGGTAGTCTCAATTATGGTTACCTGCAGTATATAAATACTAGTTTAAGAAGCAACTTGAAGTATTCAAATCACTTGATAAAGCTAATGTATTAGCGAAACATGTGATATATATTTTTCAAATAAAGTTTGTGGAGATCAAATCGTGAGGTGTAGTTTATGAAATTACTGTAGATCTTCATCTGCAGTGGTTAACAAACTATTTGAGTGTGCATGTGTAAATGAAAAGTATATTTTTTCATATACCACATACAACCACATACTCCTTTGGCCTGAATGAGATCGCAGTATTGCAAAATTATCAAAATGACAATTATTTTGAAGTGTAACCGAATTATGTGAAGACAAGTAGACATGTAGGTATGTTAAACACTACTAATTGGTTATTTGTCGAGAAAAGATTGTATTGTATAAAGATTGTATAAAATGGCAGATGGACTTTTACCAAAATAATTTCATAAATACCTAATAAAAAAATCATCAAATACATAAACATAATACAAAGCGCAATCAATAATTGCAGCCCTAGATAACAGCGACCAATGCCACATCGCCTCTGGTAATGTCTGTCGTATTTGCAAACGAAACTTCAGGCTTCAAAACTTGCAGCCTATGGCCAAGAAACCCCAGAACAACAAATGATAAAGTTTCTTCATTGAATTCAGTCATTTAATTTGTAAGCTAAATACATTTTATACTTTTTTTATTTTTATGTATACTGGGTGATTCTCTATGGTGGCTCACCCCTATAACTTTTTTATTATTGTAGGTAGAAAAAAGAAATTTGGGAGTTGTGTATGAAAGTTCAATTTAAATTTTTTGACATATTTACTTGCTTTG